GATTTTTTTGACGATTAATCAGCAAGAAAAATCTGAGCGTTCTGCAAACATTTCATTTAACCACAAATTTTTTTAAACAAAATTTGAAATATGTTAAAAGGTGCAAATAATTAAAATAGTCTTGGATCCGGGTGAAGGAAAAACTTATCACACTGTCCATATGTTGAAACAAGGTGGTGGCAACGTCATGCTCTGGGGACAGGAAAGCTGGCCAGAGTTAAATACACGCTTTTAGAGTCTCGTAAACAAAAAACAAAGTACATCTCTACTCTTCCACTTCACATTTATGAACTTACTTTCATTTTTATCCCACATATGACCCCGATAAGGTGTATAGCAGTTGGTGAGGCAACAAGATTTGAAACCAATTCAAGGGCGTGAATACTTTTTAGAGAGCTGTAAAGCTGCAGACTCACAGAAACTCCACGCAGGACGTGAAAACTCGAGAAACCGATTTCGGCCGATTTTATTCCTCTGTTTCGGTTTGATTTTTATCTGCTCTCCTCTGAATTTCTCTGCCCCGCTCCCCCGTCAAAAGATGCCAGCCGAGGACATGAGATTGATTTTCGGCTTCACCATTAATCCTGTTGCACAGCTCTCTCTCCTCTTCATTCACGCTGCTTCCTCTCCTCCTGTCTTTTCAGCTCCACTTGATTCAGAGCCAAAGCTCTGCTGATGCATTATAAATACAAAAAAAAAAAAAACAGCTCCTCTGCCCTCAGGTCAGTTACCAAGTTTGGTGTTTTTCAGCATGAAAAACTGCATGATTAAAAGAAGAAGAAGAAGTAAAGAGCCTGGGCGGTTTGAAAACGTGCTGAATAAGTGACCTCATCACGCTTTGCAACAAGTGTGAAAGGCTCCACCGAAACTGTTGCGCTCGCGCTGTTTAAATATGTGTTTTGAAATAAATCCATCACTCCCAATTAAATTGAAGGGCGTCATGTTTTCACTCCGGCTGGATTGAGGGAAAACAGGGATTTCTTCACCGGTTTCGCCTCATTGGGATCAGTGCTCTGATTTCTGGAGCTGATGCTGTTTGATGTGTAACAGCTGAGCTCCTCCAAACGGATTGTTTTCCTAACACATGATGTAAGATTTATTCTCCGGTGCATAAAATGGTTTTTGTACAAGAATAAATAAAGCAGCTGGGCATATTGGAAAGCTTTACTAAAAATAAAAAAAGTGCCGTAAAACTTTTGATTTTTCCAGGAACTATCTTTCAAATTTGTCCTACTGCTTAATGCAAAACAAAAAGAAAAGAAAATACAACTTATTAGTTTCAAGGCGGCAGAATCAGCTTAACTTTTAACCACGTCAACGGTTAAGAAAATCAAATAATGACAGTTTTTTTCTTTTACTTTGTACAACTTTCCTTGAAATATCGATAACATCAACAGCAGGTCGGTATTAGTAACTGAGATTAACGTGATAAAATCGATATTTAGTTTCTTCTTGAAATTTTAGTTTATGTTTGTATTGTGGTCTCTCAATTCTACCTCAGACAAAGGTTTTCTTGTGGTGGCGCAGGGGTTAAGCACATATGGAGGCCTTTGTCCTCGACGCAGCTGTCGCAGGTTCGATTCCTGACCTGCTGAGTTTCTCCTTCTCTTGTTACCCTGTCAATTCACTATCAAATAAAAGTCACCAGAGCCAATAAAAACTTTTTTTTAAAAAAGGTTTCCGTTTGATTTACCTTCAATTATATTTGTTTGTGCTTTGTTTATTAAGTAAAAATGTACAAAATCATGACAGCACTTCTTTAAAGTATTTGGTAGATACCTGTTTAGCCTAAATTATGCCCAAGATTAGAACAAAAAATAATTCAAAGGAAAAAAAACACCAGAAAAAACACATTTTTATATATATTTATGTAGAAAGTATCGGTATCGGTATTGGCGATGCGGTTCCTATATGTACTTGGTATCGGATTGACACCAACATGTGCAGTAACATTGCACATCTCATGGTGTTGCACTCGGCAGGCAACAAGTTCACGCCAGAATGCTTTGAACGCAACACCGACCCAACGTGGCTGAAGGCCGGTGAACCAGCGGCGTGGACCCGCAGCCTGACTGCGACTCTCTGTCCTGCACTGACAGCTGGACGGCGGCTACCCTGATGGAGAAGAAACACGTCCATTTGGATTGTGGCAAATGAAGAAAATTGTCACGAGAAATGTCAACAGTCAGTACGCCTGACTATGAAATCTCAGCTGTCTGCAGGCACAAGCCAGAATACGAAACGTACGCCATTGGAAAAAGCTCACAACTAATAAAGTTTCTTTTCTCTTCTTTTTACGTCTATGAGCAGTTACAAGCTCTCGGGAGCCCCCTGGTGGGCTGGAGACCCTACGCAAATAGAAACAGACAAGTTTGTATATTTTTACTTTTTTTGTGCCTTTTGGTAATAAGTGCATTCT